GGTCCAGGTGCCCAGGTCTGGCCTTCACGTCTAAGGAGGTAGGGAGCAGTTGGGGAGGTGAATGAGTTGGTTTGGAGAAGAGGAACCCAAAGGGAGTAGGTAGAGACATAGGGAAGGCACAATTCCTCTCCCTTACTGATTCCCCTCTGTTTACCTCATTAGATGTGCAGGCCAGACCTGGGCACCTGGACCCACAGGAGATGTTTATAAAAGAATGTTAGCTTTGGGGCGCCATTTTGCTCCATTGTTATAAATAAGCTCAGGATCCCCCTCCTCTTCTTAGTATCCATGCTCCATAATTAAGCTCTATTTGTCTTGTTCTACTTATGTCCCAGATCCTCTTTTGGCATTCTTATATACAACCTTTGCTCTCTCATCCTTTCTTTTACTCCAGTCTCTGATGAAGAGGTTCCTCTTTTTCTCCCGGGGCCAACCAGTCTACTTGTACCTGAAACCCTCCTTTCCTAGCTCCTTCAAGCACTTGCTCTTTCTGTAATTAATCTACCCATCTTCAATCACTTCTTATCTACTGGCTCTTTCCCTATTGCCTATACACATTTCCAAATTTCTACCATTTTTGACAAACCTTTCCTTGACTTCAGCTGCCCAAGCTATCATCCGTTTTCTCTCTTTCACAGCTAAATTCCTTCAGTAAAGCCTATCTGCTTATTGCCTCCATATACCTTCCACACCTTTCTTCAATCCCAGTCTGGCTTCTGAACCTACCATTTCACTGAAATTGCATTGTTCACAGTTATCAGTGATCTCTACTCATTTCCCTGATGACCCTTTTTTCCAGTCCTGATCCTTCCTCACCTCTCTGCAGCTTTTGAAACTGTCAGCCATTCCTTTATTCTATATACTCTCTCCCTGACTTCTCTGATCCTACTTTCTCCTTGTTTTGCTATCTGTCTGACTGCTCCTCATTCTCCCTTGCCAGGTTATTATCCATTTCTTGTCCCCTAACTGGACATGTTGGCAGCTAGGTGGTGTAGTGGATCAAATGAAGTCAAGGAGACTCATTTTCCTGAGTTCAAATCTGACCTCAGACACTTACTAGCTGTGTGACCTTGGGCAAATCATTAACTCTGCCTCATTTTCCTCATCTGTAAAATTTTATGGAGAAGGAAATGGAAGACCACGTCAGTATCTCTGCCAAGAAAACCCCAAATGGGGTCGTGAAGTCCGATGAGACTGAAATGACTGAACAACAACAAAAATTGTTGATGTTACCCGTGACTCTTTCCTGGACCCTCCTGTCTCTATACCCTCTCCCATGCTGGTTTCATCAGCTCCCATGGTCTCAGTTATCATTTCTATGCAGAAGACTCTTAAATCTATATTTCCAGCCCTAAGAATGCATTCTCCTAACTGCAGTCCTGAATCACCATCTGCTTGTTGAACCTTTCTCCCTGTGGGAGATATTCTATCAGGAACTCAGCTTTAACGTTATTATCTTCCCCTTCAATCCTGCCTTATTTCTAAATTTCCCTATTTCTATTGAGGGCACCACCTTCTTTCTATTACCTGAGCGTGAAACCTTGGGATCATCACTGAGTCTTCCTTCTCCCTCATCCAATCAGTTGCCAATTCTTGTCAGTTCTTCTCCATGAGTCCCTTTCTCTCCATCCTCATGGCTCCTGTCACTTCTTACCCAGACCATGACAATGGCCTCCTTGCTTCTGGCTTCTATCCTCCTCTAACTTCTCTCCTCTTCCACAGAGCTGCCAGATCTTAAAGCACAGCTCTGACCTCTTCACTCTCCTTCTTTAGAACATCTTCTGTGATCTCCTTTAAGATAAAATACAAACTCCTCAACGTGGTGTTTAAAACCTTTTACATCCTGGCTCTGGTCTACTTCTCCAGACATTTCACATGATTTCCCTTCAGCAAACCAGTTTACTTGCTGTAGAGTTCCCACTTCAGCATTCCATCTCCTACTGCAAAGGTTGTTCCCTTGCCTGCGGTACTCTCGCCTATTTGGAGGCAGCTAGGTGGTACAGTGGATAATGTGCTGGGCCTGGAGTCAGGAAGATTTGAGTTCACATCTGGTCTCACTTACTAGCTCTGTGATCCTGGGCAAGCCACTTAACCTCTGTTTGCCTTAATGTCCTCAACTGTAAAATGGAGGTAATAATAACCCATTCTGCTAGGCGGTTGTGAAGATCAAGTGAGATAATATTTGTAGAAGTGCTTAGCATAATGCTTGGCATATTGTAGGCGCTATGTAAATGCCTATTTCCTTCCCCTTCCTTCCCTACTGGATCAATCAACAAGCATTTATTGAGTGCCTACTATGTATTCAAGTACCTATAATGTATGAGGCACTCTGCTAGGTATAGGGACCACAAATGAAAAAAGAAAAAAGAGAGAATTCCTGCCCTCAAGGAGCTTACTATATTTAAAATCCATAGCTTCTTTCGAGGCTCCAGCTCCAGTGCCATTTCCCCTGCCAATCACCCTCTGATTCATCAGTAGTCTCTTTCTCCATATGGTATTACCCAACAGAACATAGGCTCCTTAAAGGCAAATCTTTAGTCTTTCTATCCCTTGTACTGTCTTCAAAATAGTAGAGAATGAATAAATATTTTTTAAATATTGAATTGAACAGGACCTCTTCTTTGGCCTCTCATAGCGTCCTACCCTTTGTCCCTAATAACTTTCTTTGTTAGTTTCTTCCACATTTCCCGCTCATGCTGGTTTTGATGAAATCAAAATCTGATCTCCCTTATGTCATTCAAGCAACATTTATTGAACATCTAATGCCTGTTCAGCACTGAGCTATATTCAGTAGATGGTGAAAATAATAAAAATACCTTATGGACTGACTTGCAGGACTAGACTTGTATGTGAAGAAATCAGAAAAAAATACTTCATTTGTATTGATTGATGATTAAGAGATTATAGATTTTAGGGCTAAAAAGGACTTTAGAGATAATCTAGTCTAGCCAATTCTTTTTTTTTCAATAGTATTTACAAAGGGATATTTACTTTAAAGATATAGCAAGAACAGAAGTTCAAACATTTCCCTCCAGCACACTGGGGGTGGGTTCCCCGCCTCCCCCCCCCATATGACCTCAATCTCTGGGGAGAGTGGGCTCCAATTTCATGAAGTTTCTACTTAGCATTAACCTGAACAAGTTCACATCCAAATGTGACAGGTATGAGCTGAACGAGTCTAGCATCTACATCTGTTTTGCTTTACAGATAAAGAAACTGAGGCCCAGGGAGATGAAGTGATATACCAAAGAGGCCACAGGGCTGGTAGCAGAACCAGGGTTCATATCAAGGTCCCTTGACTCCAAAGTGTTTGGTCCTTCTCTCTCTCTCTCTCTCTCTCACACACACACACATACACACGTATATATAAATATATACATATACATACACATATACACACATGCACAGTGGCAAGAGCACTGGAGTCAGAAGACTTGGGTTTGAAACCTGGCTCTGACATTTCCTCATCCACATCTCACAGAGTTGTAAAAGAAGTGCTTTGTGAACCTCAAAATGATAGGGTGATTGTAGTTGTGATGTGAATCGATAATCCTCAATGCTCTTGAATTCCATGCTATCCTCCTCCGTGACTTTCCATAAACAAATACTCCATTCAATGTGCTCTATAGGTGAGGGCAGATCTTTTCGCATCTTCAAGATACTGATGGAGCACTGGGAATTGACATCTGTTAATTTTTATTCTCACAACATGACTCACCTCCTTTTCCAGTCCTGATATTCCCACCATGTCTTTCACACCACTTCTCATATGTAAGTCATCATTGGGAAACTGCTAGTGATGTGCTACATGTTCAGTCAATTAATAAGCATTTAAATGCCTACTATATATGCTAGATACTGTGCTGGGTGCTGGGAATTCAATACAAAAGTGAGACAGTGCCTTCCATGAGAAGCTTACATTCTACCAATAAATACAGCATATATTCAAAATAAATGCACAGTGAATTGGAGGGCACTAACTATTCTGGGAGTCAGGAAGAAAACAAGCATTCAAGTACCTATTATATGTCAGGCACTACCCTAAGTGCTTTACAAATATGTCATTTGATGCTTACAACATCCCTGGCAAACAGAAACAATTATGAGTCCCGTTTGTTAGTTCAAGAAGCTGAGGCAGACAGGGGCTAAATGACTTGCCCAGGATCATGCAGCTAGTAAGTTTCTGAGGCTTGGTTTGAACTTGGATTTTCCTGACACCAAGTCCAGTGCTCTATCCACTCTACCTTCTTTCTCTGTCTCTTGAAAGAGGTGGCCTTGAGCTGAAAACTAGAAAGGGTTGAGGAGTTCCAAGGGGTTGGAATGAGGAGGGAGTGAACATTCCAGGTATGGGGGACAATTTGTGAAAGGCACAGAGATGGGTGGAAGGTCATGTCTGCGGAACAGTAAATGTGCCAGTTTGGCTGAAAGAGAGCGTACAATGAGCCTAGAAAGATAAAAGCCAGGTGTCAAAATGTATGTCACTCCCTCCCTTTCCCTAATCTCCCCTACCGTTACCTACTAATTAACCTCTTTGCTTTTGGTTTCTTCTCAGCTCCCTGGGGAAGATAGGAGAACCTTTGGCCAGTGTTGGCACTTGAAGGACCCCAGCCATTATATCCACCTTTCAGGTCCCAGTTCTCTGAGTTAACTCTGAGAGAGAAAGAGAGACAGAGACAGAGACACAGAAACAGAGATAGAGACACAGAGACAGAGACAGAGAGACAGAGGCAGAGACAGAGAAAAAGAGAGTGGGCTCTATAGTATACTGCCATTGGAATCAAAGTCCTGACTTTGAATCCTACTTCTTCCATGTCCACTTCCACCTTGAACCAATCGCCTTATTTCTCTGAGTCTCAATTTCTTATTCGTCACGAGTCGGGATTGGAGTAGTTGATGTCCAAGGCCCCTCTTCTTTCTATGAGGAGTGTGGGCCTTGGGAGGCAGGGTGCAAGGATCATCCTTGCATCTTCCCAACCCAGCTGCCTCTCTGCCCCCTCCAGGGCTGTGGGCAGCCCCCTGGTCATGGACCCCACCAGCATCTGCCGGAAGGCTCGACGGCTAGCGGGACGGCAGGCAGAGCTGTGTCAAGCTGAGCCCGAGCTGGTGGCGGAGCTGGCACGGGGTGCCCGGCTAGGTGTAAGGGAGTGCCAGTTCCAGTTCCGATTCCGACGCTGGAACTGTTCCAGCCACAGCAAGGCCTTTGGGAGAATCCTGCAGCAGGGTCAGTGGGAGTCCTGGGCCTGGGGAGGGAGTGGGGTAAAAAGGAAGGGGAAGGGGAGGGAGCTCTCTTTCCCCAGGGGCTAAGATTGACAAAGCTTGAGGGTTTAAAGTCTGGAGAGGAAAGAAAAGGGCCTGACTTGAACCTCATCTCCCAGTTCAATTACAGTGGCCTTTAGTTTCCTGACATAGTGGGCCCAGACTACTAAACCCCTTTTCCATCCTTCCCTGGTCCCCTGACTCCAGCCCCTAGATTACTGTCTTTTTAACTACCCTTCCCCCTACCCTTACCTCCCCTACCTTGGCTGTTCCTCAGATATCCGGGAGACAGCCTTCGTCTTCGCCATCACGGCAGCTGGGGCCAGCCATGCAGTGACCCAGGCCTGCTCTATGGGAGAGCTGCTGCAGTGTGGCTGCCAAGCTCCCCATGGACGGGCCCCACCCCGGCCCCCTGGACTCCCCAACCTCACTGGGACTCCGGGGCCTCCAGGGCCTGGGAGCTCCTTGGACGGCAATGCAGCCTGGGAGTGGGGGGGCTGTGGAGACGACGTGGACTTCGGAGATGAGAAGTCCAGGCTCTTCATGGATGCTCGGCACAAGCGGGGACGGGGTGATATCCGGGCACTGGTGCAGCTACACAACAATGAGGCTGGACGGCTGGTGAGGTTCCCAGGAGGGATTGGGATAGGACACGGTGGAGAGGGAGGAAGGTTGGGGAATGTCAGGAAACAAGGGGTGGGGACTGGGGCAGGGTGAGGGAAATGAACTTGGAGAAGCTAGGCTGAATGTGGAAGGGATGAAAGGACTGGACTAAAAAAGGGGGGCTGTGGATTAGGGGTGGGACCTGGGAGGAGAAGGGAAGGATGAGGGATAATGGGTAGGACCTCGGGGCTGGGTTGAGCCAGTTGGGGAGTGACAAAGTTCTGTGATGTTGAGCAATGAGTTTAATCCCAGTCAAGCTAAGCCTACCTTGACAGAGGCAGTCAACTAGTCAATCAGTCAACAAGCATTTAATTAAGCACCTGCTATGTACCACTGTGCTAAGCATTGGAGATACCAAGAAAGGCAAAACTCCACGTGCACCCCCCAAATTGGAATGGTCCCCATTTTCAAGGAGCTTGAATTCTAATGGAGGGAGATAACATGTAAATAACTAGATATATACAAGATACCTACAGAACAGAGGTTGGAGGGACTGGGAAAAGTCCCTGGGAAGGTGGGTTTTGAGCTGAATCTTGAGGGAAGCCAGGATGCTGGGTATAGTAAAAGCAACACCCAATCTAGAGTCAGAGGGCATGGCTTTGAATATTGAATCAACTATTTATTACTCATGAGACCTTAAGCAAGTCACCTAAACTCTAGTCACCTAAACCTATCTTTGCCATCTGTAGAATGAAGTAGCTGGGCTATTTGACCTCAAAGGTCCCTTCTACCTGTGTTGTCTAATCCAGCCAATGTTAATTACACTTAACCAGCTTTCCCTACACCCCCCAGGTCTGACTCTCCACTCTAATATTATACTGACTTTTCCCAAGGCAAACCCACCTTGTCCTCACTAGTTTCTCTGTCTTGTCTTCTCTCTCTTCTCCAGGACGTTTGTCCTATTCATCATCTCTCATAGTGGAAACACTAAGGGACCATTTATCATTCAATCAAAGAGAAATGAAATATTATTGCTGAGGAACTTAGGATGGGTGGAAGGGAGATAAAGTAAATAGGAAAACAAGAGTACCCAGGATTTGTCTGCTAGAATTCCTCTGGGATCATCTGACCTTAGCTAATTTACAGTCTCACTTCATGTGGTTGCCCTTCTCCCCACCTCCCCCCAGTCTCCCATCACTCATCACCCACAGTCAAACCCACAACCTTTAAGCCTTGGAGGCTTAGGAGGACTGGAAGTAAGAACTCTTGGGTGCCCATCTCAGGATGCCCTGGAACTTTCCCCTGCACACTTGTCTTACATTCCTATTTGTGACAGCTGGGCCTCTTGTGGTCCTGTGCAGGGGATGGAGGGGAAGGGGGAGAAACTAGAGGGTGGTGTTGGGACAGGCCCACATATTTGTTTGGAAGGGTGAGCCGCTCAGCCAGCCTTTCTCCAGCTTGGAGTCTATGATCAGTCCCTGCCTGGGGACATGAGGGGCTGGAATGAAAGAGTAAAAAAGGGAGGAGGGGATGGGGGTGATTGACATCTTATCACCTCCCCTTCCACTCCCAATTCTAACATCTCTTAGATACAATCTCATCCTCCTCTTGTTTTTTTATTCCCTCTTTATCCCACCAACTCCCATGGCCCCCACACCTCCCCAACACTCAACTTCTGCATTCCCGTCTCTTTTCATCTTTGGCTCATGTCTCTTTTCTGTTCCTTTTTCTTGTCTGTCTTTCTCTACCTACCCCCTTATCTCTTTTCTTTGACTTTCTCCTTTCGTCCTTTCATGTCTTCTCCCTCATCTTCTTTTTACCTACTACTCTTTTTATTCTCCATTCTCATTTTTCCCCAATCCTCTCTTCTTAAACTCTTTCCTCCCTTTTTTTCCTACCTTCTTTTCTTCTGTCTCCTTTCCCTTCGTGTTTTGCCATCTTCTCCCTTTTCCACACAACCTCTTTGTCCTTATTTCTTTGTGTCAAAATGCATCTCTGTTTTCTGTGGTTCCCTTTCCCTGTCTTTCTCTTCACTGGTCTTCACTCCATCTTCCTCATCGGGTCCCCAACTTTCTTTTTATTTCATTCCCCCTCCCCCTTTTTGATATCTCTTCGTCTTCCTGCATATACCCCTTGGTGTTTCTTCTCCTTTTTTTCCTCTTTCCCTTTTCCCATCCCCTAATGTCTTTCATTACTGATTACCTCATCCTCCATGTCCCCTGGATGTTTCTCCCTGCGTCCCTCTCACCTCCGATACCCCCATGGTGATCTCCTTTCATCACCCTGGCTGCTCCCCTTCCTCATATTGCCCTACTTCCCATGGCTTCCTCTGGCTGTCTCCTACATATCTATACTGTTTCTTCCCTGCCCTATTCCCCATGGACCTCTTGACTGTCCCTCTTCCTTTCCCTCTCACTTCACCTATCCCCGTGCCTCCTTCTCCTCTTCCTGTCATCTCTCCTGTCCCACTGGCTGTTCCCCCTCCCGTGCTCCCTTTGGGCTTTCTCGCCTCTCTCTTGCCCTGACTCTGGGCCTACTCACCTCCTTCATGTCCCCACTCTGTCTCTTCCCTGCCCCATTCTCCTATGGCCTCCCCTGCAGGCGGTGCGGAGTCACACGCGCACAGAATGTAAGTGCCACGGCCTCTCGGGCTCCTGCGCCCTTCGCACCTGCTGGCAGAAGCTGCCCCCGTTCCGGGAGGTGGGAGCCCGGCTGCTGGAGCGCTTCCACGGCGCCTCCAGGGTCATGGGGACCAATGACGGCAAGGCCTTACTGCCGGCTGGCCACACCCTCAAGCCCCCCGACCGCGCCGACTTGCTCTACGCCGCAGATTCGCCCGACTTCTGCTCGGCCAACCGGCGGACGGGCTCCCCGGGTACGCGGGGCCGCGCCTGCAACAGCAGCGCCCTGGACCTGAGCGGCTGCGACCTGCTGTGCTGCGGCCGGGGACACCGTCAGGAGAGCGTGCAGCTTGAGGAAAACTGTTTCTGCCGCTTCCACTGGTGCTGCGTGGTGCAATGTCACCGCTGTCGCGTGCGCAAGGAACTCAGCCTCTGCCTTTGACCCGGACCTGCCCTTGCCCCGCGCCCCTGGACCTCGGGGAGCTGAGCCTGCATCTCGGGGCCACCGGCGAGAGACGACTAGACGGTGGCAGAGAACGTGGCCTTGGGCTGGCCTCAACTAAGGAAGTATTCATCCTCTATCCGAGAACTTGGCAAAGGATGCCTTCCCGGATCATCGTGATCTGTTATTCCAGGAGCAGAGACCACTACATGCAGGGAAGTGAACTCTGGAGAGATACCTAGCTACCTGGGTGCCAAGGATAATGGGTGATGCTGTGGATGCCCTGCTCAATTCTAACTGACTCTTCCTTCAACATTTCCTGATAAGGATGGAGATTTGGAATGGGAATCTGGGTACTCTTAAAGCACTGCCTGGGGAATAGGAGGAAGCGAGAAAAGCCAAGGGGAGCAACACTGGAGGATGGGGGGGACCCTAATGACAGGGTTGGGGAGGGCCCTAGGAGGTGTCAAAGGGGTGATTTTTGGTACTAATAAAGTTATTTAAAGCAAATAGACTCCGTTGGGGATTTGGGGAGAGAGGCTGTGGCCAGTCTATCCAGACCCAGATTCAGGGAGGGGACACTTAGCATGATGCTGTAGGGCTGGGAAACAGGAAGGAGGAAAAAGAGGGTTGTAATTTATGATGAAACCCTTGAAGATTACCATCTTCTGTACTTCAGTGGGTTCTCTCCTTAGTAAGCTGGATGGACTCTCCCAGAAATCACCTAATCCAACTCCCCCATTTTACAGGTGAGGGCTTGAGACCCAGATAAGTGAAATAATTTGCCCAAATCTGGGGCAGAGCTGGGATTTGAATCAGGATCTTTGACTTCAAATTCATGCCACCTTTCTTGCCCCTTTTCTTGCAGCCATTAGGTCTGAAGGTCCTTAAAGTGGCATTTTATTCCTCATTTCTGGAATGATAGGTGTCCCCTTTCTACTTTACTCTTAATCCAGCACAGTGACTGAAGGGGTGAGGGCAATCTACAACTTGACTTTATTATAACAGGGTTAGAGAGTTTATGGGAAAAGGGAATATATAGTGTCTTAACGGCTTAAAAAAAAAACAAGACTAGTATTTGACTGGCTAGTCCACTTTCATTTTACAGATGAGGAAAGTGAGTCCTAGGGAGATGAAATGACTTAAATTCCCAAGTTACCTTAAATTCCTGGCTCTTACCAGCAAATCTTTTGGTCTTAGGTTACCATTTGGACCTAGGATTTTATCAGTGTAGGGGATTCCCAGTGAGGACCTTCTAAAAAACACAGCAGCAGCACTTAAGTAATTTTACAGTCTCATAGAGTTTCCAGGACTTGAACCCAGGTCTTCCTGAGTCTTAAGTCGATCAATATATTTGACTTAATACTTATTAAGTACCTATACTAGGCACTGCAGATACAAAGATGAAAGGTGACATAATTCCTACCCTCAAGTTTACAGTCCAATGTGGGAGGGAAAAGTGATATATACAAATGAATATGCTAGAAGGTAGCATGTGAGAAAGGCAAAGGAAAGATATCGACACGATGCTACTTCTATGTCCTTGGCAACAGGAGCAGCAAAGACTTCCCACAACCATCCTTTTGTACCGTAGTTAGAAATGGAAGACTGGGCTTTGTGGATCATGGTCTCACCCATTGCGGTATTTCTCATGTTCTTATGGTTCCTCCCTCCCATCAGCCATAAAACCTAAGCCACAAGGAGGAAACCTAGTAAGTAAGGATGGAGTTATTCTTATTCTTTTTCTTGGTTTTTGGTTGTTCTAGATTGTATTTAATTCAATTCAACCAAACTTTCATAGCCCTGCTCCTCCTCCTTCCTTCTTATGGAATCTGAGGTCCCCTGTTAACCCTCCCCAAGATTTCATGAATATGACAACATCTGTCTTGACACAGAAATTGTTACCTTTACCTGCCACTTGAATACATTTAAAATACAGACTGACAATAAAGCATTTTTATTTACAATCAAGTGGGAGAGGAAAGGATATTTTATCACAAGGCTAACTTTTTGCATTCATGCTCTTTTCATTCTCTCAGGGCCCTTCAATAGTCCCAGAAGTGAATTCATTAAAAAGCAATATGGAGTTGGTAGAAAAGAGGAGAATGATTTACCAGAATCAGGCCCTTGGACTCTGATGGCTAGTCCCATGTCCCTTCCTCTTATGACAATAAACATGAAAAGAATTGAGAAGAGCCTGACCATTGGGGGATGGTATTCAAGATTCCTGACTTTGATCATGGGATCTAACAATTTGTGTGGGAGAGAGAAATAGCAGCATAGTGGTAAGAGCACTAGACTTGGAGTCAGGAAAACCTGAGTTCAAATTCTTCCCGACATGCTTATTAGGTGTGTGACTCTGCAAGTCTCTGGGCCAGTTTTCTCATCTGTAAAATGAAGGACTTCATAACTTCTAAGGTCCCTTTCAGCTTTAAATCTATGGTTCTATGATCCTATCATCTAAGGATTTTAGTGAACTCCATGGATTAAGTGGCAGGCCCTCAGAATCATGTGATTTTAGATTACATTAAGATGGGGGCCACAGGGTTGAGTGGGAGAGGTGAGAGTCCTGCAGTCCTCACACCCTGGTCAGACCAAGTGTTCTGTTCTGGATGCTACATCTGAGGAATGACATTAACAAAATAGAATATGTCCTCAGTATGGCAGCCTGGGTGTTGAGGAAAAAGGAGATCATTCAGGAGCAAATGATGGAACTGGCAGTAATGTAGAGGTGGGATGAGTGTGGGGAGACTGTCTTCAAGTATTTGGAAGGCAACGTTAAGCTGAAGGAAAATTAGACTTGTCTTTCATGGCTCTACAGAGAAGAACTAGGAGCAAATGGAGGCAATTGTACAGAGGTCAGTTTCTCCACTGAAGTGAAAATTTCCTAACAATTACAACTCTCCATAAGTGGAATGGGCTTTCTTGGGAAATAGTGGGTCTGTCTTCAGTGGAGATCTTCAAGTGGACACCACTTGTCAGGGATGTTGGAGATAATGTTAATATATCTTCAGGTTCAGGTTGAACTAGATGACCTCTAGTGGTCTATCCCAACTCTGAGTTCTGGGGTTTTGATTAAAGTTATCCTTTCATTCATTTTTACAGATGAGGAATCTGAGGCTCAGAGAGGGGAATTGACTGCTTCAGTTACACAGTTGATAAGTTGCTGAGCTGGATTTGAACCCAGATCTTTTGACTCTAAATTTAGTGCTCTTTCTACTACATACAAAATACCACCACTTCTCAAATTCACACC